GATTCTGTTTAATGCAGGAGGGCACAATAAAGCATCAGTGGCTGAAACTTTACATACAAAAGTTTCCAAAATTGCATTTCTGTAAAATATGTGGCATAAATACAGGAAGGTGGTGATGTGGTTTGGTATAAATGTTTAATTAGCATTCGTCTGGGTTAACCATGTGATTCCATCATGGCTATGCCACCTGTGAGAAATGCAACCACCCACGATTGATGCCAAATACATTTTTATTCCACACCATCTGTTTTCTATAGATAGCAATATGTGCACGCATGCGCACACACCCTTGTAGTGATCTCTAATCTGGAGTTAAGATGATTTGTGATGACCTCAAACTCAATAGCATTAAAGATGATAAATAGAATATAGAAACTTAAAGGGAAAGTACTAAAATTAACCGTGAACTTTCTGCATAAACTAATCATTCCACTGTCCAGTTTTCAAAGATGTCCCTTCTCAGTTTAATGCATGTTGATAAAGGTCACTTGTATACATCATCTCCCTACCACCTCATCCCTCCCCCATCTACAGCTTTTCTCTATGCTGTCTATTCCTCTTATAGTAGTGCTTATTAAAAGCTTGACTATAAAGTCTTTGTTTACCCAAAGACCTATTTTTATCACAACTGTTTAGAATGGTTAAACCTCAACAAGTTAAACACTTTACACAAAATAATGTATTTGCAATAAATTGAAATATTAACCAATCATATATAATGGTTCAGTTCTAACAAATGGTTTGCTAGAAATCCTTGGAGTTTCATATAAATTGAAAACTGTATTGACTGACTGGGCTGCACTCGAATTACATTGCATTTGGATCAAAAAGCATAGAAAAAGTTCTCATTATAGTTCCCTGACATTAATTTGAGCATTTTTATATGTGTGTCCTATTAAGTACTTTAAGTGCTTTTTGATAATTGTGCTTTGTAGTTTTTACAGCACTTCAGCCTATTCCCAGTTCAATTTCCTCTTTTATCCGATGTTTGAAATATTGATTTCTGACAGATAAAAGCAAACCTTATAATCTCAGCAGCACGCAATAAGTGAGTAAGATGGGGCTACAGAATGCATCGGGGAATGGTCATATTTGAAACCGTCTTTGTTTTATTACATTTCGTCAACAGAATGTACTTACTGCTTGCTGATATTTATGTAAAAAGCAGGACTCCTGATAGTCCAGTGATATTACCAGTTCCTGGTCTACTTTTGCATTTAGTAAGATAAAAGAAGAAACTCCCTTGGTGGTTGGTGATTGTAGCTGCTTAAACTGCTGTCAGCTAGCTCGAAGTAACTGTGATTTATCTTCTTCAGATTGTGCAGTGTCCGTGATCTTCTAGGGTTTGCATTAAAAACTGACAGAACATCAGAATGCCAGAAACCTCTCATATTGTGGCTGTGGAGGTAGCGCTTCCAGTTTGCGGAGCACCGTTCAAGCCCTCTACAAAGCCTCACCACCATATACCTGAAAAAGAGACTGGTGGAAATGTTGAAGCTAGACTAGGAACATCAGGCTGTTGAGAATAGGCCTCATGTCCTGTTTTATTTGCTTTCACAACATCTCCCTTTCAGAATCTAGATGCTAGTGATCTGCCAAACTAGAAGCGAGTAGGCATCCAAGATAGAAGACTGGGAGGCATCCGAACATCCACACTAACTGGCCATCTGGCAACTAGTTACCGCTTGAAGCTTGGCCTACTGATCCCAATAGGCTGACATAAGTCTCTCAGGCAGCTTGGTTAGCGTTGCAGTGAATCATTCTCATACCTACATCTGCTTGTAGAAGAGTAGAATATGTAACCTACAGAGGACTGATCTACTTCAGCTCCACTGATATTTCCTCTGATGTAACGAAAATTAGTGTCACTGGTTTTATCTTGTAAATGGACAGTTGAGGCATAACATTCTTTTTTTAGGGGGAGGGAGGAATTTCTCCTGCCCGTACAGTACTTCAGTTTATTTGTCCTGTCCATTATGATGAAAGCACAGTAGTGACTCCATAGTTAAGACTATATAAATTTCCATGGGGTACTTAATCCAAAATTAGCCATGCTTTACATTTGCACTTGATTCTTCAGCCACCTTTTTTCCCTCAGCCCTGGGAATATTTAAGTGCCTTGCATGCATATAAGTCTCTCTACACACTTGCTCATAGTATAGTTTTCATTGAAAGGGCATTGAAAAAAAATGTTGTGTTAGTGAATCTTGGTTGTTGTGGACTGGAACTCCGCCAGCCACTTAGCAATTAAAGGTTTAATCTCTCAGCGATTAAAGTTTTCATTACTAAGCAATTAGCACTTAAAGTTTTAAGTGATAAGTGCTTAGCTGTATTCTGGAACTGCCGGGGTGGGTTGGGTGAGGTACTGGAGAGCACTGAATCTGGGAATGTGGTCAGGGGAAATAGCCAGGGGGAGAAGAGGCTCTGAGCTTTGGTGTGTGGGCACAGTGGCAGCTGATAGACATGCTCAGGTCCAGTGAAGCTGGGCTCCCCTATTGCAGACCTAAGCGGAAGAAGGAGAATAGACTAGAGGTGTGGCATGTAGGGATCCAGGGAAGATGGCTGGTGAGCTAGGGAACATGACTGGCTTGACGTCCAGGGCTGCTAGTGGAACTGGAGCCAAGGTTTGGTGCTGCACCCAGAGAATGAGAACTGGCCGGGGAGTGGAGCCGTGCAGTCAGTAGGTGTCTGGAGGCTGTTTATGGTGCTGGAGAGCTATGCTGGTTGGGGAGTGCAGCCAGGCAGGAAGCAGTAAAACATCCTATCTGTTCTGTGAAAATCTAATGTGAAATGTAATGGGAAAATCTTTGCATCTCTTCTACAGAAGGGTTTTGCCCGGTGTATACAAAGCATGGTCCAACAGGAACTTGGCATTTAATTATAAATGTAATTTAAATTATAGATTTAAAAGAAGTGTGTGTGTCTATGTCTGTGTGTGTGTGTGTGTGTGTGTGTGCGCGCGCGCACGTGCACATTTACACAATTCAAAACCAAAATTGTGTTAAATTACAGTTAGGGTTGCTATATGCAATTCAAGGGAAGGTGCCATTAAACATGTTAGTAAATGAAAGACTCTTTTCCCCCAACATCACAAGCTATGGAAATCGCAAACTAAGGATACGTAATAATTCTAACACCAACCTTAACATCTGTTGACTGTACGCAACTAAAATATTCATTTATCTTCTAACAATACAAATATATCAATATATGTATAGTCAACACATATAAGTAAGAGGATCAACAAAAGTATGCTGTGGTAAATGGTAGTGTAAGTGAAGCCAGACAGCATTAGAATTTCAAAGGAAATATTTAGTATGTGTCATACTGAATTGGTTATTTACAGTTCATTTGAAAACAAACAACATTGGAAAGGGTTTATCTTCTAATAAATCAAAACCATTGTGAAGTCAGGTCACAAAGTACAAAGCCTAAAGGCAGCTCTGCAGCAGCTATCCCTTATTATACCGTGTGTATGTATTATACTAGATGGCAGAAGAGCATAATGGAAAGTGCTGCTTTGAAGAACTTAAAACAATTAGAAAAGCAAAAGTACAATGTGGGAAAAACTGATGGTGGTTTGTTTTGTTTTGAGCTTTTGTTTCTGTTTGGTTTTTTCAGTATTTTGCTGAAGGACTGGTGAGAAGCAAATTATGAAAGAGTCCAGTACATCTTCCTTCCACATTGAGATGGCATGACTCAACCTAAGTTTACACACACGTTTGTGTGTGTGAATATATAAATAATTTAATATTTAAATCTTCATATCAGAATCAATTATCTTGGATACATCTAAACTAGTTCTGTTAGGGCTTGATCATGCAATGCAAGGTGCCGAAGCCCTCTGACCCTCATCCAACAAAGTACTTAAGTTATGCTTAAGCATAATGTGCCAAACTTTATACATGTGAATAATCACAAAAGTTTCAGTGGAACTACTAATGTGTTTAATTGCTTGCAGGATCAGGGCCATAAGGCTCAGCATCTTGCAAGGTTAAGCCCTCTCTGTATGCAGAGAGGAGAGAAGATAATAAAGGGACGCACTTTCAAGCAGACATACAGCCAACGTGGGTGTGCACGTGCTCCAAAATGCCTGTTCAAGTCCTGGTGTATGTGCATGCATAGTTGTGTGAAGGCATCCATTTTGATTTGTGCATATTTATTAAAGTTTTTCCATCCTCTTGTTTTGATGTAAAAATGCCTTTTTTAACAAAAGAATTTGAAAATGATTTTTTTTTAAAATGACAAATTTACTTTTGTTGGGAACTTTTTTTCAATTGGGAAAAACTGATTGGTTTTAGACTGGGAGGGGAAGTTAAAATCAGGGAGTAGAGTGGGAGTTTATTGTTAATACTTTATTTTTTCCAGCTTGAATTTTTGAAAAAGTGTTGTATTTTTGAAAAAAAAATTCAGCAAAAAAAATTAAAACAAGAATGTCACAGAGAATTTCCAACAAAATGTTTTGTCTTTGTAAACGTTTGTAAAATACTTAACTTTTTGGAGCAGCCTAAATTGGGCCTGCGCATGTTTTTGTGCGCCCACAAACATGTACAGCTAGTTACTTCCTTACTCTACTGTTGTTCATTAAAAACATATTTTCAGTGTTGTGCTCTAATCTATCTTCATAAAGCCATTGTATCTTTCTATAGCAGTTGATATACAGGTATTGCTCTACGCCACATGGTAATAACATGTAATTGGGATTCATAGCCTGGATTAATAAACTTGCACCACCACAGCACACGTGTGGTCTCCGTTATAGACACACACTGCACATTTTGCTTTTCCCTTTGGCTCAGCCTTGGGTAGTATCAAGCAAGAAAGCGTTCTTCAGCCAGAAAGCTTTCTAAATCTTAACAGACCCCTTTCTCCAATACTGAGCAGTCAATGCAGCTGTGGTTTATATTTCCATATACCTTGTAAAATAGGTTCAGCATGTTGTAATGATGAAGTAAATATTGCTCATTGTGTGCTAACTAGCTCCCATCACTTTCACTTACTTGGTGCAGTCCTGGGGCTTTAAAATCCCATCTTACTGCATGGAGTTCGTGTTGGTTTTGATGGGAACACAATGTTCAATGGGTCGGAGACCCCCTGTTGGATGTGTCTGGAATTTAAGACTCAAGTTGTGCCTGCAGATATTTAAAAAAAATAATTTAACAAGTCAGGCAAACTGATAACATGAGAATATAAACAAACCAGTTTTAATAGAAAGTAACCCATGTACCTCATAAAAATACTGCAGACTCAATTCCCTTTTACCTCAGTTTTTCTGCCTTCCTTTTCCTCTCTTATCCTCTTTGATGTCTGCAGCTGTTGTCTGCCAAATAAGGCTGGCATCTGACTGCAATGCTGATGTTTTACCAGCTTCTAAAGGTCTACCATTCATGAGACAGCCAATTCTCTCCCTTCCCGCTTCTTCTGCAAAGAGTGAATGTTTATCAGCTCTGTGACATACTCAGCCTACGAGCTGACAATCAGTCTTGTCACACACTCTCAGCTTGCAAGTACTCAGCAGCCAGTTGAATTCCTTGTTAAACAAAGTGTTGAAACTGGGAGAGGAGTGATATCAACCAAGTTATACCTCCATAAGCAATGACAATATTATTAGTATTTCCTTTTTGTTTTAGGTTCTTAATCTTGTCTTTGGCTAAGGAGAGAATACAAATAGGTGGATCTCTGGGAGGCTTGTTTCAATATTTGTAATGGAAAGGTGTCATTCAAACGATAAATAAAATGCATTTAAAATATTAGATCACTATCTAGTGATGAGCCAGATTCTGCCCTGATTCGTGCGCCATGCAATCCCTTTTGACAGATGTGGAGTTCAAGTCAGGGCAGAACTTAGTTTGCTCGCTTTAGTACAATAGGATGGGAAATACAGCAAAGGGAAAGGATTTTCTGACCATCAAAGGGTGAAGGTTTTTCAGACCGTCAGATTTTTTTTCACCCTATTCTTAGATACTGGACTTTGTTATGAAGATGTACAATGGAGATATTGCAACTGGACATTTGTATTCTGCAATAATGAGCTAAAGTTCTACAGTTTACAATATAGTGATACTGCAGTGTTCTGGGTGAATAGCTACAAGGTGCTGTATTTTTTTAAAATGTATATGGTTATCCAGTTGCCTTCAGGTACCTAACCTTCAGACCCCTCTTCTCCACATTTTTGCATGTGATTTTTACTATCTTAGAACACTTTCAGGGAGTTATTCATAATTACTTGTCAGAGATGGGTCTGAAATGATAGTAGTATTATAGGAACCTTGCTTTAGGGCCTGTTGAATTCAGGAGGAGACTTACTGTTCATCTTTTTTTTTTAATGCTCCTTGCAAATGTTCACCACGTGGTCCAGTTGGCAGTTCTGCCAGTGACCAGAACATTGCGTTATGTTAGTGACCACCTTGCTGGACTTCGGTTTTACCACTTCTTTTCAGCGAACGCTTGGCTTTCACAACCATTTGGCACTTGCCTAAGTAAATGTTGCACAAAGTAGCATGCACCATAATATTTTCAATAGCTCCATGAAATAATTTTCTTCCATTGTAGTGCAAAATAGGCATTTTCTGAGGGGAAATGGTTCTGTCAACATTTTTCTGGTCTGCTCTAAGCCCCACTGAGAAGTTTCTGAAGAGCCAAAGAGAAGGACATGGAGCATAATAGCAAAGGTGAAACTCTCCCTTGCATAGCACAGACTTCCCTCTGAATGAAAGGGAGTATGGATCCCTGGTTTTAAGCCAATATCCCCATAGTAACAAATCAAGGAAGAGGAAAAAATAGAAAATGTAATTATAAGCCAAACTCTCAGAGACCCTTTCAGAATTTCAGTGGCGGTGACAAGCTTGGAGATGAAGGTGAGAGGGAATACAAGAGTCATGGGAGGAAGATGAGCTGGATGGGACAGCTGCCAGAAAATAAACTGAGGCAGGAGGGGAAGACCTCTGGGGACACATCAGCGAGGCTGCACAGAGTGAGCCTTCACCCTGTCTGAGGATTTATATGGGAGACATGGGATGGCTTCTTAAATAAGCCAGTCCCAAATTTTCAAAAAGATTTGGTTCAGTGCAAGGGCTGAGGTAGGAGTTGGTTTATTCCTTCCTGGTCATAAGCCATTTAGTAAATTTCAGAGCCCATCTTTGACCCCCAGAAAATCTAGCATTTCCTAACCAGGCTGTTTTTGCCCTTCAAAAGGAAAAAATTACCATGACCGCTAATGTGTGCTGCGTTCAGACTATCTACAATTTAAAGGCCACATTCTCCCCTCAGATGTATGTGGCCAACTCTCACTGAAATTAATGGGAACCACAGATGTGCATCTGAGGGGAAAATGTGGCCCAAACAATGCCATCCTGGTAGCGTACAATCACAGAAACGCTAGGTTGGACATTTATATTTTGGCTGTTGACTTTCAGAAGCCAGGATTTCCTTTTCTCTAACTGCAAATTTCTGAGCAATTGAGGACAATATGTGGACTGCAGAGATAGGCAAGACAACATTCGATTTGATTAGGGTAATCCAGGAGTTCTCAAACTTCATTGCACCGCGACCCACTTCTGACAACAAAAATTACTACATGGCCCCAGTAGGGGGGGCCCCAAAGCCTGACCCCGCCCGAGTCCCACCACCCTGGGTGCGGGGGCCAAAGTCCAACCCCACCACCCTCGGCAGGGGGGGTTAAAGCTGAAGCCTAAGGGCTTCAACCCCAGGCAAGGGGCCTGTAACCTGAGCCTCTCCCCCCAGGGCTGAAGCCCTTGGGCTTGGTCTTTGGCCCCAGGCGGTAGCGTGCAGGCTTTGGCCCTGGGCCCCAGCAAGTCTAATCCAGCCCTGGGTGACCCCATTAAAACAGGATTGCGACCCACTTTGGGGTCCCAACCCACCGTTTGAGAACCTCTGGAATCCTTTTTTTTCTTCTTCTTTGCAGTTACAATTACACTATTGTTAATCATACTACCAAGTGCTCACAATACTGTAGAATGCAGGTTAAATATTTTTGTGTCAATCGGAATTTCTACTCCAATTTCTCACTGAAATCTAATGACTTTCATCTTCAAAGAAATTGTATTGAGTTCTGAATGTCTACTCTTCTGTTCTAATTGCAGTACTTAATACACTTCACGTTCTGCAGATCAATAACATGTATTTATCCATTCTGGGTTTTTTCTCCTACTTGGAAAATTGTTGGCAATCTGAAAACAGATATACATTTTTTCAATATATATTTTATTAAAATCAAATATGTCTTTGGGTGTGATGTATACACACATGAATGTTATCTATGCATAGGTGTGTAAGGCTTATATTTCCAAGCAATAGTCACTACTGAAAAGTCGGCGTTTGCCAACAATTGTTTCCTATTCTAAGTAGAACGGAAACTGGGACATCTCAGATACCAATACCTGGTAATGGCTGAGAAATGCTGACTTTTTGTGGTGACCGCATGGTTTGGGGTGAACACACACAGAGACAGATTAAGGAGCCCTGCTACATTCTCATGAATTATATGCCAAAGGAAAGAATTACACTTTTTCAGTGTGTTTCTCAGATATACATGCAGGCACATACGTGGATACATTCCTCAGCCCTCTGCTGCTTACCTGACTCACAACCTGCCCACCATGCACCTCATCTCCCTCTGCCCCCATCCTTCCTGCCTGCTTAGAATCTTCTCACCTCCTCCTCTCTCTCCTTCCCTCTTCTGTGGCCCTTGATCCCTTCCTCACCTCCCTACCATGATCAACAACTCTTGTGTCTCCCGCCCACCATATAATGGCCTATCAAAAACATTCCCAATATAAGTATCAGCTCCTAGCTATAAACAAGAGTTGTTTGAAATGCTTCAAAATGTTGACTTGGTCAGAAGAAAGGGTCAGGACTTTCAGGAAAAAAAATGTATTTGACCAGCTGTGCAGCTGGCTTAAAGAAAATTCAAACTTTCGCTAAGATTTTCATTGAGTAAACAGAACTAGATTTCCATGACACTTTGACTCATTTTATTAAGTAGTTCGTCTATTAACACATGAAGAAAAAGTCCTTGAATCTTCTGACATATCCAGCATTAATAGTCAAAGTTTCGGCATCTTCTTGTGTATCCCTCATTTTTGCCTGCCTTTCACCCCATCCTTGTGTTGTTGTGTTTATCTACATTTAGCTTGCAGGTTCTTCAGGACAGAGACTGTTTTCCTCTTGGGTTCCTGAAAAACTGAATATTTCCCCACAGCATATTCCACAGTTCACTCTTGCTCATTGTCTTGCGGAGGAATGTGAGCCCTTTTTTTCATCTCTTGAGCTCACAGCATCACCCATATATTGAGAAGCAATAGGCTACGGAAGCAATACTCATTTTAAGGAATAATCTTGCAGAGTTTAGTTGGACAAAAATTCCAGCGAAACCACTGTCACACTTAGCAAAGGACTGAGTAGCTGAGGAATTCATGCTATAAAGTACTGTACAACACTGCCCCCATATCAGAACTGTGCCTAAGGTGCCATTAAATGTCTGATCCTTTGCTCCTTACTAATTTTTGGCCAAATCCCGCAGCTGCTGAGTGCCTGCTCTGGTATGTTGAAGATGGACTTTTGTTCCTTGTTTGGACTGGGCCCTTAGATTGCAGCAGTCATGGCACTGACAAAGCCCAAAGAATGTGCAGAATGTGATCGTTTTTACATGTTTATCTACAACTGAAAATTCTTCATTGTAAAACTTCTTTGGGGGGAAAATTTAAATTGAGAAATACATTTTAAAATAGCTATTAAAAAAGACAAGCAATAAAGCAAGAAAAGAAATGCAAACCTGATGTGTATAGTAGAGTGGAAACTGATAAAAATGAAAACCCAATTTTCAATATCTATGTCATTAATTCATTGATGTCCAGTCTCAGATAAGGGGCAATACCCTATTTTTACCATTCAAATCCTCATATATAAGGACAATAAAGACACAAAGCCCTTGCGTTACAGCAAGATTATTAGATGAGTCCTAATCCCACTAGGGTGGTAGTTACACTGTGTGTCAAAGTATTAACTAAACAAAATACATTTATTTTCAGTGGATAAACTATATAACCACCTGAGGAATAATGTTTGTGTGAAATGTAATGATTGGAAAAGATATTTAAACCATTCCTTTCCCACTACAGTCAGTAATGTTGTGATGCACTTTACTTGTCCATTATGGTCATCCTGAGTATCTGTACTATGGGTTTATTCCAGCCCCGCCTGAAGTTAATAGTTCTGCCATTGATGTCATAGGGAAGAGGGCTAGGTACTAGATCATCTTTGACTTGGCTTTGACTAATGGGACATCTACGCTTGGAGCTAGGGGTTTGATTCCCAGCTCGAAGAGACATATCTGCACTAGTTCTTATCAAACTAGTGTTCTAAAAATACAGTGTAGCTGATGATGGGCTAGCTGCCTTGAGAGCGTGCTTAGTATCTCAGATGGATATATACTGGGAGGAGTCAACCCCTTCCACTGCTTGTGCCGCTGCAGCTACGCTCTGTTTATAGTGCACTAACTGGATCAGCTAGCATAGGTTTGTCTCCTCGAGCTAGGAATTACACCTCCATCATGAAGTGTAGATGTACCCTTTGTTGTATAACTATGGGATTTAGTGCAAAATTCTTTGATCTCAATTGCACTTACTGCATCCACTGTGATATAAATGGAGTGCAGAATATGCATCAGAGGGCTGTAGTGAGGATTGAAGAGCAGAAGTTTGCTCTAAAGCAATGGGAATCTTGCCCCCAAATAACATGATACAAATATAGGGTCAGATTCCCAGCTGGTGTGAGTCAGCATAGCTCAGTTGATGTTGGGACACAAATGAAGTCTGGACATTTAAAAAAAAAATCTACTGGCATATGCCAAGAGATGGATCCAAACTAAACTCCCAGATCTGGAGAAAGGTAAGTCATTTAATGAGGAGAGGTTCAGCATTAACTTACCCACCGCATTTCTGTAGTTCTCTTGGGATGCAAGACTGTCTTGCTGGCTCTCCCATCATCTCACTTCCTGTAGCCTTGCAGATCATTACGGAGAGTCTGAGACTGTTACATGTCAGAAAGCAGCAGAGAGATGTGATCGCAGGATAGTTTGATCATGCAACACTAGGAAAAGTCAACTAGATTGGACAAAAATTAACTACTTAAGTCTGAAGAAGGTGTAAATTCTATTCATTGTGGGACGTTAAATTGGATGCTTATTGCATTCAGAAACATTTCTTATAGAACCCGAAGCCCTTCAAACAGCATCTCAACTGTTTAGAATAGGGATCAAATCTATTCACAGCAATTCTGAAGTGAGGAGACAAGATGTAACCTTGTTTCAGATCTGACCTGGTTCTTTGTGTAAAGTGTGTTTTTTATTTTTAGAAAATAAATTACAGCTAGTACATGATTTTCTCTCCTTATCTGATAGTCTGGCCTTAGAGCTCTGTTGCTAGCTAGGAAAGACTTTAAAAATTGCTTTATTTTTAGCCACCAATTTACCAACAGACTGGTAGAATATAAATGAAATGCTGTAATTATACAAGGGACTGGGTCACTGACCTTTGGATTGCAATATCTTGTCGCTTTTGTCCTTCCCTTGCACCACCCAGTCTACAGAAGGAAATTGCATCTTTTCCTTTGGTTGTCTGAAGAATGATGTGGTATTGGAAACTAGTGAGGCGTGGCAAAATGTAGGTGTTCATAGCTTGCAATAATTTACCCATTTTCATTTTGTTTGATTTTATTAACACCTGGGTCTCAAGGGAACATAGCTGGGGAAAAAAGAATACTTCAGCTATAATCTAATGATCAGCACTTACATTTCCCCCCCTTGCCTTGCTATTGTCAAGTGTCAAGATACCTCACAGCCTGCAGCTCACTTTGCCCAACTAATTTATATTATAAAGGAAGCTATACAAACCTCAAACTGTTTGTTGACACGCGTATATGGAGGAGAACGACAGAATAATTAAAAATATGGATTTTTTTTAATGTAATGGCAGATCTTCAGCTGGTGTAACTGGCATAAGTCAATGGAGCCACACAGAAACGCAACATCTATGGATCTGGTTCATAAATTGAAATTGATCAGAATTTAAAATATATTATTATAACTGCGTAAAACTTTTGTGTGGAAAACCAAAACCATACAGGCAAGATTTGTGTTTGGCTGGGAGTCCATCAAATGTTTCTACATCTTTTTCCCCAGTCAGGAGAAGAGAGGATTTGTTGGAAAAGTTGGTCAAAACACAGTAAGTTTTTATGTCTGCAGTAGGTTTTGGTTGCAAACTGATTAAACTTGCCAGCCTTAATAGTGGCAACTTTCAAAACTTGCTTCTTGTAGCTGCGTTGTGTATTGATTTTATTTATTTATTTATTTATTTGTTTGTTTGTTTGTTTATTTTTGGTCCCTCTAGCTCCATTTTCACTATTCCATTACAGGAGCTTTATGCTACTACAACTCATCAGGCCTGTTCTGTTTTTTAAATTATTCTATCCTTAAAATGTAGTAAATCTCTGGGAATATCTCAGTTCTACACACTCAGGATAAAATGTACCATTTTTAATATAGATAATCTCCTAATGGTATTGAGACCAAAAAAAATTAGACTTCAATGAAAAATTTGGCCTTGTTTTTAAAGAAAATCTACTTTATTTTTCTTCTCATTCACCATTGAATAATGCAAATGAGTTAGAAATCTCCACACTCAGCAAAGCACTGCATTCTTTCCAATGTTTTAAATACAAATCATAGATATATTTGATGCATGAATTAAAAATATATATATAGATATAGATATAGATATTGTATTTAAGTATTTCTTTTTACATGTATTGACACCAACTGCACATGCACTGTATTTATTTTAGGTAACTTGAGCTGTCAGTTCAATATAAATTAGGAAAAGGCATATTGTAACAGCATCATGCAGTCTTCTGATATGGACATTAATATCTGGAATTTCGTTGTGTGTGCCTTATTCAAATTGACTACAGTAAGACACCATTAAACTATTCATTACTGAATTCTTTGCTTCTATGTACAAAATGTCGATCACATATTTGACCCTTACAGGTTGGGAGGAGGAAGATAGGGGTGTTGAACTGATTTCCATAATGCACAAAAATACACATTGCTCCTGATTCTCTTCTCACCTATGCCAGTGTAAACCAGGAGTAATGCAATTAAAGCAAACGGAATTACACCACTGTAAAAGTATTGGGAGAACAAAATCAGGCCCACTGACTGACTGTCCTATTTCTTTATTTACCCTCTTTATTTATATTTATTTTGGCTTTTATGAGACATGAAGGAAAAATAATTCTATAAAAAGCAGTGTATTGCAAAATAAGGCATTTATTATTCCAGTGAGACTTTTTGAAGTTTAAGGTACATTGTAAGTGAGGATAGTAGTATCTACACTAATGTGTTAGAGATTAATAAAATTCTGTTGAATTGTGATACACCTCTACCCCGATATAACGCAGTAAAGCAGTGCTCCAGGGGGGCGGGGCTGTGCACTCCGGCGGATCAAAGCATGTTCAATATAACGCGGTTTCACCTATAATGCAGTAAGATTGTTTGGCTCCCGAGGACAGCGTTATATCGGGGTAGAGGTGTACTACTTTTTTAATTAGATGGCAAAAAGGACAAAACATTGGATGGTCTAAATCAGGGGTAGGCAACCTATGGCACGCATGCCAAAGGCAGCATGCGAGCTGATTTTTAGTGGCACTCACACTGCCCGGGTCCTGCCCACCAGTCCGGGGGGCTCTGCATTTTAATTTAATTTTAAATGAAGCTTCTTAAACATTTTAAAAACCTTATTTACTTTACATACAACAATAGTTTAGTTATATATTATAGACTTAGAGAAAGAGACCTTCTAAAAACGCGAAACCTTAAATTAGAGTGAATAAATGAAGACTCGGCACACCACTTCTGAAAGGTTGCCAACCCCTGGTCTAAATTCTTTTCCTTCTGATTTTGTTCTTTTACGGGTTGCAAGCGGCTGAACACTTTGCCCCCAATCCAACAAAGCACTTAAGCATGTGATTAGTTCTACTGTAGCCATGTGCTTAAAGTTTAGCACATGCTTAAGAGTTCTGCTGGATAGAGGAGAGATTGCTCAGCATTCAGAAGAGAAGTTTTTCCTTTGGGGGGATGTGGGAGACTATTGGAGCCGTGTTACTATTGTTCATTTTATATAATACAGTAAGGGGCAACCTTAAGGAAAGGCATGGAAGGCCAGCCACGGTGCCTTTTATTTGTCCCCCAGTGTTTGAAGATTCAAACTTTGTATATGATGCCATCTACCTCCTTGATCTTCATCTGCTGTAGGTTGCATTTTCTGTATAGAAATGGATTACAATGAATTCAATGGAGCAAAGCAGACATTCAGTGATTTAAAAGTGTCACATACTTAGAACTGAATTCTTCTTGCAGGTGTGTATGCTCAGTTCCCATTGATTGCAGTGTGACCTGAGCTTGTTAATCAATTGTAGAATTTGGATCTTTGAGACTGTCAGACCCCAGCCACCATTTGTACATGTGCAGCTGTGCACATGCGCAAACTTTCTGCATGCTAATACTCGTCTATGCACGCACCCAGCCCTTGGGCCAAATGGATTTTGTGCCTTTAAATTCTAACACCTTCACATGCATGAATTAAGGATTTTCTTTCTATTGTGTGTGTAGTGTCCAGTACCAATGGGACCCTGGTGCCTCTAGGTGCTACTGCAACATACATGTCTCATAAAATAATATTGCCTAATGTGTGTATATTAGTGCACAGAAAGTTTGTTCTCAGAAAG